CCCAAAACATTTTTCAGAGTAAGAACAGAAATCTTTTTAAAGAGGATTTAAACTTTCTCATGGTACACTTGATTCTCTTGGTAACCTGAGCCTACTTAGAAGTAAATCCATAGACTCTAACAAGCCTACAGTTCACGTCCAAAATACAAACTTCAATTCATCACCATTTTCTCTGTAATTGTCATACTGACTGACTGATGACATCTTTGGCTAAGAGGGGGTGTACTTTCTTCCCATCCCCTTCTGCTCCCCAGGATACATACACTGCTATCTGAAATGGTATTCTGATTAAAAGGAGTGCCTGAGGCCATCTCAGAACCTAGATCTCTCATCTCCTCCCCAACTCAGCTGAAAAACATGGTATCTTCTCAGCATTCTCCATCTCCTCTGCTCATGCTATGGCAGGAGTGCTGAGCATAGAGGAAAAGTCTCCATTCATCTATGGAATTTTTCAGACATTTTTCCAGGAAGACACCCAGGCCAAATGAGGATCTGTGAGTAGAACAGAGAAACTCTTCTGCACAGTGCCCAAGGCACTTCAAACACTACAGCAAGCATTCCAGCTGTCCATGATTTAGGGAAGCAAAATTTATGTGCCAAAATGAATGGATCCAATAAAGCAATTACTACGCTCATACTTGCAAACATTTTGTATTATATTCCAAAAGCAAGATCATTCTGAATATAAAATCTGACTGTATTTTTTTAACTTTTATACCCATTAAAACTTCAAAGTATTTTATGAACAGAAAATCTATGCTACGTGTCCCATGAAGCTGTGTTAATCCTATGGAGAACAAATCCTCCCACTAAACAGAATTTTCCCACTCAGTAATATTTAAAACAGTAGACAGCTTTATTGTGATAGCAAAAAAAAAAAAACATTTTAGTTTCCTAAAAGAGGAAAAGCACTGAAAAAGTCCAGGCTTAAGCAACTGTTTTCCTACACAATTAAACTAAAAATGGCATAAAGCTTAGAGCAAAAGAGGGAAGCAAACCAATCATTTAAATTATAGATCTCATAGGAAGTGCATGATTAATTACTGGTAGAGCTATTCAGTAAATCCAGTTAAGGCAGGCAGCCAAAACCAGGTGATGCAGTAAGAATGCTCTATTCTATGCCATCTACTAGGCATACAACATTTAAGAAAATTTACAAGCACCAGCACTAACTAGTGATCCCAGCCTTTACCGTTTGTACAATGAGATCAGCCTTCAACAGACAGAATAATTATGCTAATAGAAGAAAAACTTTCCAAAAAAACAGGCAGCCAAATCTAAGAGACCTGTCAATGCCAGTGTCATCAGTGGAGTGATAACTAGTAAAGAGCGGATATCAAAGGCTGTCTTTCTCTTCCCCTCCATGCTCTGTTCTGTTTGAGCCCATGGTGGTCACAGCTCCTTTAACAATATTTATAATGAAGGAACAACGTTAGAGATGTCAACCCTGATTATTCATAAAGGCTCCTCCTGCCCAGCTCTCCCCTTAGGCTAACTGTAAAAGTACCTGATTCCCAATTCTCAAACACAAAAGCGCACAGAGCTTGAAAGCTGAGCTGACTAATAAAGTTTGCATATCCCTAAGAACAAGAGCACACAATGAAGAAGAAAAGGAATGGCAAGATTAAACAAAAACAGTAAGCTTGGATAGGAAATAATAAAAATTTAAAGAGGCAAGAACTTAGATCCCCCCATACTCCTGTTCATTTACATTTCAACATGTCCTAAGAAGCATCTGTTTTATCTCCTGACTGCTGCATCAAGGTATAACATACACTGCAAAACTTAAATCACATTTTGGAGCTGGAATCACGAGAGGTTGTGAGCAATATAACTTCTAGGTCACTGAACTTCAACTCAGGAGGAATCTAGAACAAGGGATAAAACTGACCCAATAAACAATTCTGGCTTACTGTTCCACTTTGGGGCCTTTACTGTTATTTAAAATACACAAAAATGTGGGAAATGCCTTCAAACAAACAAGAAACTGGACTTACAATAGGACCATAAGCTGGATTTACCTGGTATAGAGCTTCGATGTATCTCTGACCACTTGACAAACAACATGGGCTTGAGGCGAGACTGTCATAGATTTATCTTAATCACACAGGGGACCAACAGAAAACAAAGCCTTCTTCGTTCCTCTGTTCTGCTTTGCTTACACTATGAGGGATTCACTGCTGGAAAGGGCAGGTCTCACCTGTCCAGGACAAGCAAGTAAACAGGAAATAAAGCAAGAGGAAGGAGTCCTGCTAGTAGAAACACCTAGCCAGCTGCAGAATGATAAGCCTCTTCACTGGTCCTTTCTCGAGACTGACTAACACCACGGCCTTGCCTCACATTTTGAGAGGCCAGTCTAGTCAAAAGTCCTGCAGGAACCTTATAAGCTACCACCTCCTGAGAAGCCTCAAGAAGCTGTTTGACTGAACTCAGCAAACTGCTTAGGGTAGGAAGCAATGATAATAATAAATACTGAATCTCCAAAAGGCTACAGGGGCACTTTGAGGCAGGATTAACAAAGTACAGAATCATCCAATACTGAGTTTGAGCAAGACGTTGGGATGAACTTTCTAGATTGGAGGAACTGGTGTGGGATCCATTCTCCAGACTTTCATTACTGGTATTTACTTCCATGACAGAACAGTTCCACGGCTCAGAAGTCACAAGACGTATGCATACATCATAACTGCTGATAGACTCGCCCAGGTAGCAGAGCCACACATCATCACCTGAGAGGACATGTCCCCTGAAAGTGAGTCCAGCAGACTACACATATCCAATCTTTCTGCAACTGCTATGGAACGTATACTTGTAAATAACAAAAAGGAACAAAACTTATTTTATTCCATCTTTAATAAAAATGGATTTTCCATCACCTTGCTTTCATAGATTGGAATAGTCACGGATGCTGGGAACAAACTGTTTTTATATTAGCAGGATAAGGCTTTCTTAGGCCTTCAAAACTGTATATAAACTGTGAACAAAATGGAAACAATGAAGCAGAAGAAAAATTGTATCAAGGAGTAACATTTTAAAACAACTGTTGCAGTGACAAATCCTCTAACAGCAGTTTGGTTGTTGTTTTTTTTTTTTTTTTGTTTTAATCGCACCTGCACAAGATAGCCCTTTACAAAGCAGTGACCCACTGAGTAGCTAGATCAGCATCACCAAAATCTTACACAAAAAGCAACAGGGACACAAGCGATCTATACATTTCTTTCAGAGTATTGAAGGCCAGCCACCTCAGTCAGCAGAGAGGCCATACTCACAACCTAGAGTTTTGTGTTACACTCATAGCTCAGGTTACCTCACCTCAGATGACAGGTCAGTTTGTCTCTAGGAGACAGCAACTTTGCCTTTACATTAGCATCGTACTGCTTTGATTTACTGTAAATGACATGAGGAGGATGCTACTGTGTGTGGTTTACCCACAGAGGGAATATTCTCTATTGGGATATATAAGCAGAAAGGTCAGACAGAACTTCCCTTTGAAATCTGGTTCACTTAATTCATTGTTTGCAAATGTGTCAGAAACACACTGACTTTGTCTCCAATACACTTGAAGGATTTGTGCTTTTGAAATGCACAGCTACCTCCTTTTCAGCCTTTCAATTCCTCCCTGTTGAGTCCCCTACATACAGTGGAAGATAAACTAGCACTTAATTTTCAAAGAGATACTTTTTCTATCTCAACCATGCTAACCTGACCTAAACAAGAGAGAACCACAGGACCAACTTAAGCATTGATAATTCCACAGAGCTTAGAAACTCATGAAGTATCTCAATTATACCACTTTGAAGTGAAAATATTTCCGTTCGAGAATCAAAATGACCCATTGTGAAATTCCCAGTTATAACTTTTCAACAGTTTTTCCTGAATTGCAATAGTCTGACACATGTAGCTCCTGCAGGATTTACAGACCTTCACCTAGCTAGCTAAACAGCTGCATTATTACTCAGGGGCATGTGTGTATTTACAGTGTCACTGTCCTCCAGAACAGTTACGCTGCTCAATTTTATTCATGTATCTTTGTCATCTGGAATACAACAGGACACATTCATTTCGACTGCCACACTGGTGACCTCAGTGTAATCCTACCAGGCACGTTTATCCCAGTATTCATGATCCATATCTGGTATCTCTAGCAAGAGGGCAGTGCAGGAGTGAGGAGGGAGATGAGGAACAATACCTGGCTCAGCTCACTAGCCATCACAGCATGGCCTTTTTACTAATTAGCATGATTTAAAAAATAATTGGTCTTCTTGCCTATGCCACAGTGCATCAGATGAAGTTGAGCGCGAGGGAAGGAGCACAGTAAACTCATTACTGTTTACTCGTTCACTGCCACATTGTTAAAAAAGGTCACTTAAAAGGTCAAGAATGATACTATACTACATGAGAGCTTTAATCTGAACATATAAGAATAGGCGGCAATCTAATTATGAAACCAGAATTAATAGGGAGATGCTACAGAACAAGAAGATAAGTACAAGTCAGAGAGGAGTAATTAACCAAACCAGTCATACATCTTGGAACAAGCCAGCCTTACCTTTCCAGCCATTGTAGCATACTGCACATGCATCTTTTTAGTGCACCTCACTCATCCACTAGCCATTCACCACACCGCTACCTGAATTTGTTCGCTATTTCAAGTCTCTGCAATGCAGACAGAGATAAGCACTAAAGCTTGCTGTTTCTGTATTCTGAAGCACTCTCCTTAGTGCAGTACAAACTCACAGCCAAGCTCTCCTGACTTGAGTCTTTAGGCTCACCCCGTAGGTCACATCAGCCCTTCAAAAAATCTCAATCTCAAGGTTTTTTTCTTTACAAGTGAGCTCTTTACACTACTCACGGTAGAGGTAAGCACCTCATCCTTGCCCAAGTTTTAAACATAAGAAATAATAAATCTTTAGGAACAAAAAAATACCTGCAAGTGACCCTTTACTGGCTACTTTTCCCTAAGAAGAACCCCAAGCCACACTTCCACTTATAAAACAAACTTACCAATCTCTTGTCCTTTCACAACCTTCCACTGCTTTGACCAGGAGACTCCTTGATAAGGCACTATCCAAAAAAAGCAGGAACTCCCATGTTGAGGAAGAGTCAGCTGCTTCTCCAGATGGTTTGTATTTGAAGAGATCACCATTCCTATTTAATGCTTTCTCAGTGTTAGGTTCACACCCATCCCATCTGTTTGGTCTCCACTCTATCTAAAGCTTGAAGACTGAAAGGATAGTGACTATACATTCAAAAGCATTTGCAGCTCATTAAAGGCACATGTGGGAAGTTCCCACACCCTAGGAAGTCATTATGGGATCTTTAGTCTGTCTTTCCAAGGAAGTTCTAGAGCCCACCAAGCAAATTCAGCTGCATCTAAAGGCTTTATTCTGTATGTGCAACAACACATCTAGTAGGTCACCAAACTGAAGTAACTATCACAGTGACCCTGTGCCGAAGTATTTCCCTAACAAATCCCCTCGATTTCTCTCCAGGTACTGCACCAAGAAGGCCTTCCCTGTAGAAACACTATGCCTTCAAGAAATAGGGGTGGGGAGGGAAGGTAGAATCATGTCAGCAAAGTCTCCCACACCACCACCACCACAAAAAAACATTTACCTTTTCTTCTCAGGAGCTACTTGTCTCAGCTGTCAGGAGTTATTACCTTACTTCAACATTCCAGCAGAGCAGTGACCATTTTGCAAAATGCCCACTGATCATCCCATTGAAATTTCCCATACTACCAAGAAAGTAGCACTTGTTTGCATCTGGCTGCCTCAAATATCTAATGAAACTCTCACTAGTAGCTAAGAACAGAGGAAGAAATTCATGGCAAGTTCAGTGAGGAGATGATGAAGCCTTTTAAAAATCACTGATTTCCAAGCAAGTCACTGTTGGTAAATTTAGCATCTTAGAATCTGCAACAAAACATGCAGACATATGTGACTGGAGGAGCCAGCGCTCTATTTCCTAAACCACACACTCAGTTTAGATTTAATAAGACAGTAATTGTGCATTAAGTACTCATTGATTACCTAAAATATATTTATTAAGAAATAACAGCTCTGTAACACACCTCCATTAGATACTCCCATATCTATTACAAAGCTGTTAAACAACAATAAATGCTTATCTAAAAAATGAGCATTCGGCTAACATAAAATACACATCCTATTAAATCCAACTGAAACACACGTTGAAGACAATTAAAGCTCCTGTGTGATTCTCAAGTTTTCTGAGCAATGTTATTCTGATGCCTGAAGCCATAGCACCAAGCCTCTGAATAGCAACTTTTTTATAAGATTCGAGAAATTTTCAAGAACTCTTAAGCTTCTCAAGAAATCCTTCTTTAAGCCTCATTTGCTTGGTGACAGCATATCAGTAAGGAATGTACATGTCTCTGCAGAACAGGTACACACCAATGACATAAACAGAAAGGGAGGTGACATTCAATGAAGTAAAGAAAATTGCGGTCCCTAGGGATAAATTTTACAGCAATAAAAACAACACTCCAGCCACATCTGGCCTGGATCAAAGACAACAGACTTCTGACAAAGAGTTGGCAGGAGTCTGCAAAAGATGGCAAAACAAGCACAGAAAGGAAGAGACAGAAAATTGAGTGTATGGGCCCCAGTGACCAGGTACTACACAAAATAGGCAATACTGGACTAACACACACACAAAACGGAAACTTCACTCTGAACATTTTCTTTGAGCCCAGAAAATTGCTTTTTAGCTACAAAAGAGCTACTGGAATGAACTGAAGTACATTCTGTCCAGTGGGCACTCCCTGGAATCACATCAGAAGCACCTATGTAGGGCAGCATAATGAAACTTGATTTCCGCTTCTCACAATCCATCAATTTTCTGGGTAAGTCCAAAACTCCTACAGACTCACAGGCCTCCTGCTGCAGCAATTAATTCACTTTTCCTACTAAGCTATTAATTAATTTTAAAAACCCCTTGTTGTTGAGCAATGCACATACATCATTAACATCAGAGAATTCTTCTATTGCATTATTGTTTATTAAAACACAAACTCAGAAAAAAGAAAATTGGAAAATGAGGGTTATAAAGCAAAAAGCCAGAGATGGGTCTGGAACATAGGCATACTTAGTCATGGAAATTCTGTTTGAAGCTTCACTGTCTGTTTTATTATGGATTCCATAGGCAGCTTCTAATTTAGTGCTGCTGTTAACACTCCTGCTACATCAAAAATTCCCTCTGCTGAACTTTTGTAGCGGTTTTTGTGTTAGACAAGCACCAGTCCTTTCCAATTTCACAGTTTCCTAATTATGGTATTGCAGTTCTCATTTGTACTGTAAATGTAACCAGATTAAAAAAGGGGCGGGGGGGAAGCAGCAGTAATTTCCAGCTGTTGGAAGCGCTGTTTTTACCAGCATTACCCAGTGATATAGAAAAGGTGTGTAGTAGCTGGTCAGTAACCAGTTTAGCAAATTGTTTCTAGGTATATTGCTGTGAAATGTGTATTATAGCACCTTCTGTGACAAACCACCCTGTAAAAGCTTTGATCTTCAATTGCCATTCAAAACATTAATACTCATTTCTTTCAATCACATACTTTAACAAAATTAAGATAAACAAATACCTGAATTACCAACAAATGAAGAGTAAAACCTACAAGAAGGATTAACCCACTAATTGAACATTCAAAGCTTTAAATAGCAAAGTAACTCTAAATGACTAATAAAAGGCTACCATAGATAAAACATCTAAGAAGCAAGATAGAGTCCTTTTTCTTCTTCTGTGTTTACAATAGCCACCCTTTGTTCCAACAACATCCACAGAAGTGTTTCCCTTTTCTTTACTATATCCAGTTTATTGTAGGATATGCAATTCATATCTGCTTCCAGTAGCAGTGGTTCAGGGCCCCTCTGAAGCATTTGTTCTGCTAAGTGACATATTGTGACACATCCCATGAAAATGGGGAAATGTGAGAAAAGTGACAGAAATACTTTACTCCTCATTTCCACTAATGAGAATAAACAATAAGAGAGACATCTATAAAGAATTGCAATAAGCAATTTATTTGGTTGAAGCACAAGCAGTGCCTTTTCTTTCCCTGCTCCCCTTCCTCTTACTTTGCTTAGAGCAGGCTTTTCATTTTTTTTCATTTTGCTTTATATTGTCAACCAAGAACAGAGTTCCTGAGGAGACAAACAGGGGGTAAAGAAGACAAATCTGTCTGCTTTGTGTGAGAGCTGTAGGCCAGAGTTATCAACTCCTCTGCTATTCAAGACAGATTTGCATATCCAAGGCCACCCGAGGCAGAGAAAGCATTTGGAGTCTGATTTTTTTCCACTAGAACACATCAGGGAGCGAAGCAAAATCAGGAAACTCCAAAAAAGATTCAAGTAACTACTAAAAATATTAAAAAATAAAAAAAATTTAAAAATCACAAAACTTTGTGGAGGGGGAAAACCTAAAAAACTCCTCCCATTCAAGAATTTCTGTCATGGAAAAAAAGACATTTTATACATAATGGAATTTCCAAATACTCTTATTAAAGAAACTCCACAGACAGCAACTTGGCACAAGAACTTCAGATTGGCATTCGTGCTGTTGCTGTCTGTATCTTAATACAACACTAGTTCTCTGCATACAGGAATCAAGGATGATGGAGTAGCCAGCCTGGAAAAGGGTGCATTATTTTTTCCAGCAGTCTTAACTGCAGTTTGGTGATAGAAAAAAAAAATAAAAAAAAAATCCAAAGATATACCACAGATAAAAAGGCACTACATGGTGGCTGCATCATGCATTAGCTCTACCATTAATACCTACTATTGAGAAATACCAGAGAAATGCCGGGGAGTATGGGGGAAAATGGTAGGGGGCAAAATTCCAGTACAGTCAGTCCCTAATCGCAAAGCTTGTCTTCCTGCAGATATAATACTGGAATGAACCAAGCACATCATCTCAGCATAGTGATTACAGAAATTGCTTTGAGAAATGCTGTCAGTAAAATCACAATTAATATGAATATATTTAAGTTAAAGTTAACCTTTTACTGAGAGTATGTGTGTGACATACACAATGCATGGAGACAGGGTATACACTCCATACTTTTATTGACTAACAAAAATTACCAGCTAAAGAGCTGCTAATCTCTTCTCCTGCCTTATGACCCATTTTCATGCACACACTTTAATCTGATACAGAGTTACTTTTGGATTTTGCCATACCTTCCTCACTATATCAATTTTTAATGCAAAAACCTGTCACTTACAACGGCACAGGAATACTTTGGCAAATCAAGATGCTATTAAACCTGAATAAAGAGAGCAAAATTTCATTCTATAATTCACAGCCCAAAGGCCCTGATTCCCATCCATTACCCGTATACTGAAGAGCCCTTTAAAAATCTTTTTGACTTCAATATAATGTGTATCATAATTGGTCTTTGATTTAATGAATATTATCAACCACTATCTTAGCTAGACCTGAAACACTACTCAACTGCCTAAAGACAAAACCATCTTTTATAACATACCATGAAACAGCAGGCTGCAGAACAGTAATCAGCAATAAGTAATATGCAAAGACAAAATTTGTTTTGGCAATTAAAAGGAAAGTCCTGAACCTTAAGATTTTAGCCTGTGATTTGTTTGGTTTAAAAAGAATGGTTGTGGATGTAACCGATTTTCCTCACCATTTTTTGTCAGTAGCATTGGAAATCAGACACTTCTTCATAGAATCCCTATCACCTAGTTGTATGCATTTGGTACATTAGAGAATTCATATTCAATTAATTTATTTATACATATTTTCCAAAGAAAATGAGGATCTTAAATTTACTGAAGTTAACTCTGAATTTAATATCTTTACCATGCTGTCAACACTTACCATGGATTTGGAAATCTAGCAGCTCAAGTGCTGCCCACTTGCTGACACCTAGAACACGTCTGCTCTTGCATCACATTGCTGTTCTCAGTTGCAAGCCCTGCGTGCATGATGAGATCACAGCACTATCGTACTGGCAATGGCTTCCACATACAAGCTAAATAGTACTAGAGAGGTATAAAATCCATTTCAAACCACTGTTTTGAGTGAGTTGTTCATGCTTGTTGGTACATCTGAAGAAGAATGTTGCTCTTTCAAAA